GGCCCTGAAGCGCGTACGGATCGCGCACCAGGCCCGGGTGCCCCGAGGGAGCTGCAAGGTGCTCCAGCTGCCCGGAGCCCCCAGTGTGTCGGGCCGCTAGCATCACCACTCCTGGGCCTGGGAGTGGCGGCTGGGCTGGGGGCCTCGGGGTCGGAAGGGGAACCCACGTTCCTTCCCGGGCGGGCCCCTGCTCTCCCACGGCCGATGCCGACTCTCCTGTCCAGGCATCAGTCTTAACCTGCATCAGCTGGTTGGTCCTTCCCCGGGGGCCTGGGCTCTCCCAGCTTTCAGGCTGCGGCATCTGTTCTCCCAGGGACCTGCAGAAGTCCCCCAGAATTCCCAGGGAGCCGCCTTCCTCCGAGGGCAGTGTAGGCGCCTCTCCCTGAGCCACCTCCAGGGCTTGTGAGAGACAGCCTCTGCCGTCGGAAGACTGAAGGATCTTCACTTCCAGGCCCTGAGGAGAATCCTCACTCTGCTCCAAGAGGGCCTCCTTTCTCTGACACTTAGAGTGATTTCTGTCTTGACCTTGAGGAGCCTCTTTGTTCTCACCCTGGGGGGCCTCCCACCTTTGCCCTTCAGGGACCTCTTCTTCCCTCAGAGCCTGCATAGCCTCCACACTCTGACCCTGTTGTGTCTTCTCTCTCTTCCTCTGAGGAAAGTCTTTGTCCTTCCCCTGGGGGGCCTCCCCTCTCTGATCCTGAGGGGTCTCTTCTTTCTGCTCCTGAGGGTCCTCCTCTCTCTGACTCTGAATCATCTCAATCCTTAGCAGCTTCTGAAGCTCTGCTCTCTCCTGGCCTGGGCTGCAGCCCAGCCCCTCCAGGGGATCTTGGGGTTCTGGCAGGCCCTGGGGCGGGAAGCTTGAGGGTCCTGGGGCTCCCTGAGCAAGCTTTTTCTCCTGTAGGCTCCTGGATGATGATCGACTGGGCCTCTGGGTTGTGGGCTCTGCTTGGCCCCTCTCATCCCTCTGGGTCAGGTCCTAGGAAGGAAGAACACTTTGTCCCAGGTTTTTGAGGCACCCCCTGTGCTAGGGCCATGTCCCGCATGGAACCCTGGAGACCCCAGTGGGCCTGTAAGGGCCCTTGCCTTTTTTCCTGAATTCATTAAATCCATGTTATATAATAGAAAAGGTGCTTCACTGATAGTCCCTTCTTCCACCTGGCAGTGAGTGGGCTTCTCACCCCAGCAGCCTCCTCCCAGACAAACCCCTGCTATCCCCAATCTGAGAGGGGTCTTGCCCAGGACCCTTCAACCCTTTCACTTGAACTCTGAGCTTCCTGGTTCCCCAAAACTGCCGGTGGTGGTGGGGTTCAGCTCTTGTAAGCAACCTACGGGACAAAGACTGATGTTGGGAGCCCTCTGCTCCTGTCCCAGCACCCCCCCACACACACATTCCACCAGAACCAGAACCAAGAAACCTAGGGAGTCCCCAGCATGGAAGCAGGGAGGTACCCTGAGGACTGGTATTGGAATTTCAAGGCTGTCACAGTTCATCACTCCCCTTTTATTTACACAGTCTGCTATGTGCCTGTTTGTCAGGTTTGCCTGCCAACAGCTGACCCCATCTTCCTCATCCTCCCAGCCAAGGACCACCTCAGAGGAACCTGCACACCCTCTTCCTCAGAACCACCAGGGTAGGCCTAGGAGCAGGAAGGGACTGCTTTTACCTGGCTTGTCAGTCCTTCATAAGGACTACCCCCACTTTATCCCTGTGTGCCTGCCCAGCCCCACCATATGGACCTTAGTTTCTTACTATTTAGGATAATCCTCCTTAGCTCTTTCTTGGTTTCTGACAGAAAAATCAAGTGAAATTCAAGAAGTGGAATTTTAGGCCAGAGGCTAACCTAAAAACTGCAAGTCTTCCTAATGAACAAAAGGAATCTAAAAAAAGATGAAATGTCGCTGCTCCTTTGCAGCTGTGGAGGAAGGAGCATTGTTTTGCATCCATAAAACTAGTTAAAAGAACTTGATTTTGTAAGGTCTTAAATTGAGAACTCTCACAAGAAATGCCATCTTTATGCAATATGGATGTGTGAATATTCATAACAGTAACCAAATGGGAATGCTCTCTGTGAAAACAAATCTGTCTTTTGAAGAGTTTCAAACAAAAGAATCTAATAAGACTCCCAAGCCTTTAGAAATTATTGCTATGAACTGTGAAAATAACCTCCAACCCCTGTCCCCTTGTCATTCTGATCTGTTGTCTTACTAGGTCATTTATTTCTCTGGTTGTAGTGTTGTAATTGATGTCTCCCACAATGTCTTCCCAGGTAATAATATACTTGTAAAAATCTCTCTGTCGGTCAGAAATAATCATTGGCACTTTCCTCCTCTCTCCCGGGCATGATGGCACAATTGAAGGCTTATGACTTTGCCAGGCCTATTATTTAACAAATCACTTGAGAGCCTGTTTCATTTAAACTAACAGGCCCAGGGCTCACAGCATCCATCCTACTGAGTTCTGATCCCTGTTTATTGTCATACTCTCTCACTAGGCTATGATTTCCTTAGAGATGAGGACAAGTGATGAGCCAAGTCTCTCTTGTGCTGTTTCTCCCCAGTGCCTGGCATGCGGGTGGCAACTAGGCAGCTTGGAGCGGCCATTCAAGTCCCTCCTCCCTGGGCAGCCGTGGACAGTGATTCCCAGCTCTCTCCCCTCTGTACCCCAGCTTAGCTTCAGAATCCTCTTGGACACAGTGCCTGAGACAGCTGGTACTAATCAGGTGGAATTGGCATATAAAAGAAAATCTACCTGTTGTCCCTGGGTGCCCCTGGCACCCCCCCAAAAAGTACGAGGCAAGGAATAGGTGAGGATGGACTGAAATCCCAGGACTTGGGGTGAGGGCTTCCCCAATCCTCCCAACCTAGGCTGGCCACTCCAGCCCAGGGACGCCTGTTCTCCTGGCTGCTAACCCCTCCTGTCAACGTACCAGGCGTGGACTCTGCAGGCATGCCAGGGCTCTCCCACCTTGGGTCTGCATTACTCCTGGCTTCACTTAGATCCCGGGCTGATGATGGGTCCACCGACTGCCCCCTGCAGGAATGCAAAGACTGCCTCAGATGCACCTTTTGCATCTGGGCTCTGGAGAGACAGGGGCACCCTGCCTCCCAGACTCCCTGCCCCCAGTAGGCTGCTAAGCCGTCCCACTCCAACACCCAAGCTCAGTCCAGGGCATCTTTCCCCAACTCTGTACCCATCACTGGGTCCCAGGAGCTGGAACTCGAGGTTACCCTTTCCAGGGGCTGTGGGCAACCATATTTATGGATACAATTGAGTGAGAGCCCCAGGAGGAGCTGGGGGAATGAGGAGGGGTCGATGGGCAGGGGTATGGAGAGAGACAGAACGAAGGATCCAGTGCTTGGTTGCTTAGTGTGGCAACATGGAGTGGATGAAATTCCCTGGGAGAAAGGCTCACCCCTCCAGGAGCTGATGGGTCTGGTTCAGGGAGTCCTCAGCAGGAGGCGATGAGCACAGCCTGGAACTCTGGAAGGGTTGGGGGCTGCCTAGTCCATAGGGCATCAACCTCCAGTGTAGTGGGCGACCTCCAAGCCCCCAGTGATCCCTCCTCCTGGTATCCGTGTCCTTGTGTGACCACCCTCCTCTTCCCCTCCAAGTGAAGGAGTTTGGAAATGGATCCCTCCTGCCCACTCTAGCCTTCAGTTGAGACTGTAGTCCTGGCCAAAAGTGTTGGCTGGACACTTCTTCAGTGGTAA